CGACCGCAGGGCACGCGCCCACCCGCTGCTCAGAGCGCGCCCAGCGAGCCCAGCCACGGCCGCAGCGCACAGCAGTGTGTCAGGACAGTCGCAGCAGCAGGACAGGAAAGCCTTGCTCAGTTCTTCTTCTGCAGCCAGGCCAGACGCTCCCAGAATCAACATCCTCCTCCTTTTTGGAGATCCCCAGCTGTATCACAGCAGGAAAACACACGCTGGGTCTGAAGGCAGAAGACTCCTCTGCAATCCTGTGCAAGTGGCTTTACGGGGACTCCTTACGGCGTCCGAGTAAGAGGGGAAAGCCACAGGCATTCACTGTTGGCTTTCCAGTTTGTAGCCTCAAAAACACGTGTTCTGTGTCACAGGACACTCTGCAGCATAAATACAATCCGCAGGGGCAAGGGAGGAGAGCACGGCGCTCAGCACTGGCATCCTCACGGGCAGAGATGGCTCCCAACACCTTAATGGAAGCTCTGACTGCAGCTGACTCAGAGGCACGAATTATTCAGTCCCTTCTAAAGGACCGTGACACCCCAGTGAAAGCGCAGAAGCTGTACGTGATACCCCTCACTGACTCACGACTAAGAATAAATCTTTCTTATAGGCAGCCTGAACAAAGATTACATGCAAGCGATCTGGCTATATGATTTACAGGCCTTGCTGAGAATATCTGATCCCCTCAATAAATAAAAAGACAACCTGGTTACTCCCTACAAAATGTTCCGCCAAATTATGGCATTCCAGAATTGCAGGAAACGGGAACCCTGCTAAGACTAACACTGACCCTGAAGATGTAGAGTCTTCTGGGATGAAGAGCATCTTGGGTTCTCTGCATTTCTCTTTAAACGCGTAAAATCTTTTCTGTGCCAACTTCTGTAATTACAGCAGGTGACACTGACGGTCAAGTTCCTTTTCAGGCACGGTGACTACTTAACATGCTTTTTTGCTTATAAAGCTTAGAGCAATTAGTTTCTCTCCTGACTCACTTCTGTACTAACAAGAATGAAGCTTGATCTGTTGAAGAAATGTATGACAAAAGTAACGGACGGGACAGGCCCACGACGAGCACCGATTCACCTGTTGTCTCAGCGTACGCAGGAGGCTCCAGAAGAGGGGATGAATACGCAGGGTACATCATGCCGCCTCCGTGCAAGTCCAAAATGGGCCAGCAGCTTTAACTTCTCATTTTTATCTTTACATTGTTTTCATTAGACTTTGGATAATATCAGAACCCAGAAGTTTCTTTTATCACTTTTCTAACTTAAGGAGTTGCTACCATTAATATACAATTTGTCATTTGTAAGAGTTTTCCAATGCCCTCTCTGACCATGAGGTAATACTATTAAAATAAAGTTGAGTTCAATTCATCCAAGCTACCAGAAACAAATTACAATTTCTAAAACTACAAAGCATTAAGTATTCTTGAAAACCTGAGGATTTCCCAAAAGTCGTCTGACCATTTCAAATATTTGCTTTATCGTATAGAACTTTTGATAGGAAGGTAGATTTCAGTCAGTGTAAAAAATAAAACATAAGGACTTGGCAAGGAACAACAAGCCAGCCAACCAGCCCAAGCTACCTCTTTCATAACAGCACGGATTAAGTTTCCAAACCTGAAAGCAATTCCTTGCACATTCAGGAGCCCCTGAAGCAAAGGAATGGCATGCACACATGAAACGTTAAGCACAGCTGCCACATTCTCTACCTAGCATTTAAAGCTGTATACCTTAATGCCTTTAGTGTCCTCTTCATCGAATGACCCAATATCAAAAGCATCTGCCGCATTTACTTCTCCCCGGGGAGGAATCAAGGGTGGAGGATACTAGAAATTACAAGTAGCATAATTAAGGACAAATTAATGGACATTATTTAAATCCATTCTGTAGATACATATGGCCTTTTTATTTTTTACACAAATTACACATGACTCTTCAAAAGTATGTCCCTTGAAATTAAAGCTCAGTGCAAAGCAGTTCTCCACACCTTTAATAAACGGTCCTCCAAAAATTTGGGGAAAAAACCCTACAGCTTAGAGATAGCCACGCAGAAGAAACCATGCAGTCATTTGACCCTGAAAAAGCATTAATCTGGTACTACCAATCAGGAGGATTCTAGTAATGAATATACGGCAGTTTTCAACAATCCTCCACGTATTCGTGCAAAGGATTACATGTGCTGGGGACTGGAGCCCTGAAGTTTTCCATCTGTTACCTGTTTAGGCTTATTTTCTTTTTACTACCAAGTAAGCTAAGGTTACTATCTTAATCCTTTACCTTTTGTAAATAGACTTGCTGCCAATCAATGCCTTTGAAGAAAGGATGTTCTTTTACTTCTTGCGCACTGCAAAATAAAAGTAACTGAAGTCAACAATATGAAGGGGCTTTTCAAATGTATTTGAGAAATATAAAGCTTTCAAAGGCCACATTTCTATCACTTAAAAACATCAATAAAATGCTCTTTTTTTCAAGAAAAAAAAAAGTCTTCCTAAGTAAACAACAGCAGAGAAGACTTTCATGTGGAAACACTGGAAATAGTGCTGTAGGTCTGGCAAGCAATCACTCTTGTTTTGCTGTGGTATTCCATCATTTCAAACAACAAACAACACTGGTCCCTTGTCAGATCCCATACGCTACTTCTAAGTACCAAGCTTACTCCACTCCACTTGATGTTATACATAATTTATGGCAAAACAAGCAACTACTCCTGAGAGGCCCAAGGCTGAAAAGCAGTCTCAGGTCATTATCAGAGAGGTCTCCATGATAAAAGGCGCTCTGAGTATCTCACTGGAATTAGAGCCAGCCCCAGTCTCAGGTATGACTATCAATTAACAGGTATAAGCCACTGCAAAGCGTTTCTCAACTGTTATTTACCCCTCTCACTGTCCTCTTCCCTAGTCTCAAGGAGGCACACACTGCTTTTTTAAATAGGTGATAACAACCATTTCAGTTGACAGCTATAAGCAAGGTAAGCTTGGCAGGAGCAAGTAGCGTTTTGTAGCCAATAAACAAAAAAAAATGCCCTTTTCCTTAGAATCATGAAATGAAACGGGTACATCTGGAAACAGAGGCAAACCAAAATGAAGCAGGTATTCATGGCTTTCTGTGCTTTAGTGGCCGGGGGGTTTTGTGTATAATATGCTCATATTATTACAGCTACAATATAAGCAATAAATATAAGTTATCAATATGTCTGAACCAAATAACATGACTTCATGCCAAAACAGATCAGGCAAAAACACCAAAACAACAGAGTGATGAAAAGTACAAGTGCCACCCAATGTAAGCATGACTGCAGAGAACTCAGGGGGAGTCTTTAATGACAGAAATGGTCCAAAAATTTGTCCAAACCAAAGGAAGCTGAAATGTAGTTCCATACAACAGCACTTTTTAATGTTCTCTTTCCAAAATTAAAATCATCACAACAGGAAGCAGATTTTTACTTGAAATGAATCCATTCACTTACAGAGAAATGGAAATTTTTAAAGGCAGTGGTCCAAGGAGAAGACAACACCTACCTTCTTCCTTGGCATCCAAGTCTCTTGCTAACATCCCGTTGCAGGAGCCCTTCCAAAAGGGACTTCAGTTCAGGAGAAAATGAATCTGGTAGCTCAACGTTCTATGAAAAAAAAGAAGTACAAAAAGAGACATTTAATTTTACAAGTAGTGTGATCTGCTTTCTCCCAGATAGGTGAGTAGCTTTTCTTTGATAGTGTTTGTAAACTACTCTTTCATGTGTAAATACAGCCTTCTCAGAAAGCAGGCTATATAGGTCCCGTTTTGAGAGGAAATGGGAGTCTACTGAACAAGAGGAATGTAACTGCAACTGTCACCAGGCTCCTTACCACGGTGAGCGTCATCCGGTCGATCTCGTGCTTATCTTTGGTTTTGTGCTGTCTGAAAGGACTGTGACTGTAGAAATAAGAAAATGCACTGATAAATGTAAAGCCATAACATATCAGGTTATTT